CCTTGTCCAGTTTTTGAAATTATTCAGGTCCTTAGATTCCTAAGAAACAAATGATTTGATTTGACTGTTTGAATCAAAACAAACTTGTTAAGCCAACTACTTCCAGTCTAGATGAGGCAGCATTTTCTCAGTCATTATACAGCAGCAGACATGAAATGAGCCAGGAGTTTCTTTCTAGGTAGAGTTGACAGGGTCCACCACAGGGAGACATTCATTGTAATCAGTAGACTGGTTGGCAGCTGTGACCTGTGGGCTGAAGATTGAATTGCCTGCAAGGCAAGTCCTGACTAGTTTCTCATCTGAAAGAATGACGAGGCATCCCAGCAGAATGAGTTGGAGTTTAGTGTGGCGAGATCTCTGTGAATAAAACACCAATGTGAGTTATCCCTCAGCTTGTCCTGCTCTCTCTATTCTCTTCAGTACATGAGAATATGTTAAAAACAGAAATTGGATCATGTCACTGCCTTGACTAAGCCCAGACTCCTTCAGTTGGGCGAAGTCCCTTTCTTAATTAATTCTTCTCAAGCATGCTTTTCTGTCTGGTATGTTATTCCTGTCTCCTTTACCTGTTTCACTTCTATTTCAGGTCTCAAATGGAGTATCATTTCTATGGAGAATTGTTCTCTGATCCTTTCAGGCTATTAAGTCTCATTCTTGCTGGAATGTAGAAGTGTCACTCGGTGTGTGGATAGTGTCAGGTCCGTGATGGCATATTGCTCATCACTCTGCCTCAAGTCTTGGCTGAGGGTAAACTGATGTTCAAGCTTAGTGTGTTGCCATGTTAACTCTGAAGAGGATGAGGAGGTACCATTGTATAATGTCCCCAGAAGGTGGAAACCTGGTAATATTTAATAAACATTATGAAGTAACTCCCTTAGTACCTGACTTCTCTTGGGATCCCCAACCTCCCACCTGCTATGATCCATCTTTTACCGTTCCATAATCATATGAAAGACCTTGTGATCAACAATAACTAAATTGGGGCCTCCCCAGTGGCGCAGCGGTTGAGCGCTGGGTTGCAAAGCTACCTGTAGCCTCTGCAGAGCCAGTTCGATCCCCGGCTGCTCCCCGGCCACCAGAGGAGGGTCCCACATGGCGCGCAGACCTCTCCTGCCACCCACTGCTCCCCTCAGCAGTGTACTTTGGTCCTTCTGCCTGCTCTGCTTCGCGCTCTGGCTCTGGTGAATTCTCTCACCCTCCCGCACTTCTGACTATACCCAGTGCTTGTATAAATAAATAAAAATAAATCTTTAAAAAAAAAACAATAACTAAATTGTGTCCAAAATTTTAATGTCAAGCACACCATTCTGGGGCTCCATCTTTTAGTGTCTGGAACCAGCACTCAAAGGTCCTCACTGTAATAATTCCTTGCCTCCATCAAGATTCCTGTTGCAGTTTGGGTTCCACAGAAGATGGAAACTGGCATGTCCGAAATTGTAGGGACTCCTATGGGATGAACACCTCCGGGGAAGGGAAGGAAACAGGATTGGACAAAGGGAAAAGTTAGCTCACGCCTACTGAGTGTTCTGAACCTGGGAGAGCCTATTGAATTATCCCAAGCTGGGGTAGAGGAGAACCAGTTTTTATTGCAGGTGCCCTGAGCATGTGACTGTGGTTGCAGCAGTGCTTTACAGCCAAGTGTAAGTTCCTTAAGAGGTGAACAACTGAGGGCCTCCCTGGTGGCTCAGGGCCTCCCTGGTGGCTCAGCCTCCCTGGTGGCTTAGATCCCCAGCCAAGGAGCTAACCCACATGGCATAGCAGACCTCTCCTGTCGTACCCGCTGCTCCTCTCAGCAGTGTATTTCAGTCTATCTACCTGTTTTGCTTCCCACTCTGTCTCTGGTGCACCTCTGACCTACACCCCAGTTATTCTATGCAAAATTAAAAAAGTTTCTTAAAAAAAAAAAAAGAAAGGTGGACAGCTGAATATTGTTAGCAGGTAATACTACCAGCAACTGGGGATTAAGTTCTTTCGTGTTTGAGAGAGGTTGAGCAGTGCAGCGCAGTGTCCACCAAATGTCTGATCCATTTTGACTGTCTCCTCTCCATGTCCTCCTTCTCTCCCCAGTAGCTACCATTCCTTGCATCTCATCACCTCTTTCCTCACACTTTTAATTTTCCTTTCTTTTTAACCCATACTTGCCTGAAGTTTGATGTCTGCTTATACCTAACTTTATAGTTACTTTGTATCTGCCCCAAATACCTGAATGAAATCAGAAAAACAAAAGTCTTTCTGACTTCTCTAACTCCACATTTTGTGACCACAAATCACAAGCGGACTCCTCAGCTGCCGTGATACTCTCCCTAGTAAATACTCTCCCTTCTCCCAAAATGACTATTTAATGCCTTCTCCTCTCTCCTTTAATGTCCAGTACCTCTTCTCTTTTCTAATTCTCAATTATTATTCTCTCAGCTCATTCACCGACAAAGTGAAAACAAACAAAAGAGAACTATTTGATCTCACCACCAAAATATGCCAGCCTTTCTCCACCTCTTCCTTTATCTCTTAGCTTCATTCTTCTTGTAAAGATGACTCCCTCCATCTTGCAGTGGGGCTCAAATTTTCTTGCCTGTATGGGACTTTGCTCCTGTAATGAACTGCTTTCTTCTGTTTCCTAGATAGTCTTCACTCATATCGAGTTATTCTCAACAACATGCAACATTACAATGTTTTCCATTGGTAAACAGAACTCTCTCATGACACCAAGTCTCCCGGGGGTGACTCCTGCTTTTTTCTTCTTTTTATGGCAAAATACCTCAAAAGGTTTGCCTGTGTTTGTCTCTGCTCCCTCTTCTTCCATTCCTTTTAAAATTAACTTTGCTCAGGTTTGCCCCATCACTTTCCTGAAATTATACTTAATGAGTGAAGGTCAGTAATGAGCTGCTTGTCAAATCCAGGATTTTGTCCCTTTTTTAATCTAATTCAACTCAGCAGCATGTAACAACATTAATCATTAACCCTTTTCCAAAACTCTCGTCCTCTTGACTTTCAAGATGTCCATTCTTCTGTGAAAGCAAAAGGCTTAAATGCTGCCAGGAACCAATGTGTTAAATAGTTGTAATGTCCTGACTGCCAGAAAGATCTGAACTTCATCTAATATTTATGTGCAGCTACTATTGTATCTCAAATTCCTTGGTGAATTTCCTCTATGCCCTCGCTTGATGTGATCTTATGTAGTTTTTATGTTCCTGTTACCCATTTGTTTTCATTATGCAGTGTCTTGGATCATTCTGGAAGAATATGGTACTTGTAGGGGAACATGATATTATTTGCTTAGTTATTGCACTAGTTTTTAGTCTTTTTTGTTCTATTAGAAAGTTTCAGTAATAAGGAGTCTCCTTTTAAGACCTCAATTATTCCACAATAACTTTTATTTATAGACTGACAGAATTTAGCACTGAGAGAATTCTGATGTCATTTCAGGGTTGCTTAGTAAGAAATACATCCAATCTACTTTTATTTTTAAAATAAAGAGATAAGTGAGTGAGTTGTCTAGTAGCTCAATATAGCTGTTGTTTCTATATATGAAGGATGTTAGGAATTTAATTATTATCTTCATATTTTAGTAATTATCATTCTGAAGATTTTCATGATGGAAACCCTAGTTTGCAAGACATTTATTTCTGAATTTGAATGTTGTGTATAGTATATTCTAACTGGGTGAGTTTGTGCCAGATCTTTTACTTTGGTAAGTCTCAATTTTCTAGACTATATTCATTTATTTTTTAAGATTTATTTATTTATTTATACATACAAGAACTGGGATACAGGCCATAGGTGTTGGGAGTAAGAGGATTCACCAGAGATTGAGCAGGGAGCAGAACAGGCAGACTGAAATACACTGCTGAGGGGAGCAGTGGGAGAGAAAAGAGAGGTCTGCTGCACCATGTGGATTGCTCCCTGGCTGGCCAGGGGTCAAACTCGTGCTGCAGAGGCTGTGGATAGTTTCACAGTGCTATGCTCAGCCCCTTGGGCCACCAGGGAGGCCTCAATTTTCAAGAATTTAAAATGAAGTTAGTGACTCACTGCACTTATATAATTTATATGTGGATTAAGTTAGATAATGCACTTAAAGATAGAAAGTGGAAGGCTTAAAATTAATTCTGATGCAAAGTATCAAAGATTCTGGATCAGACTGGTTAAATGCAAGTCATAGGCTAATGGTTGGCAGAACCAGAACTAGAGCTCACATTTTCTATCTTGGACTCCCAGGCTGTGCTTCAATCCCTCCCTTTCCTTCGTTGGTACATGTGCAGCCTCAGAAAAATGAACAAAAAGCCAGTTTTGAAAAAATAAAAACCTAGAAAAAGACCAAACTCTGTGCTGAAGGTTGTAGGTTATTTTAATTCTTATCATGATCTTTTTTGAGAAAACAGTTGCTGCTCTGACCTCCATTCCAAAGAGAATAAGATCTTTTTGTTGAGTCAGCTCACTCTTCTATCATATGGGATGGATCTACAGGTCAAGGGATGAAAAGAATTAATTTGCATCAGCCTAGAGCTGCTGTCTGTATTCATAGTACAAGACAGGAGAAATTGGCTACACCATCATTTTGTAACAGATGGATTAAGGCATGTCTTAGAAAGACACACACAAGCAGAGTGGGTCTGTATTCCCTTGATCTCTCTGATAAAAACTACACCATGTACAGTGGACACCTGATAAATATTAATTGATATCAGTGCACTGGACACAGACTCCTTGATTTGGGACATTTAAATCAAACCTCTTCCTTGTTAAGACATTAATAGCATATTCAGTCTTCTTAGTCCTTGGATCCTTAACTGTTGTGTCTTACCATGGATCCTTCTAGACATACTTTCAACTCACGATAACGTCTGATGCCCCAGCTGATTTTTCATTGAAGTTTAATGCATCTTGCTTTATTTCCCCCCTTGGACTCAGTGGACATTTGTCTTTTTAAATTTTATTCTAAAGTGCTTGCACTTAATTTTAATCACTTGATTAACCCTGCTATTGCTTTTTTGTGTGTCCTTCAGATATCGATGAGTGTGCCGCTAAGATGCACTACTGTCACGCCAATACTGTGTGTGTCAACCTGCCGGGGGTCTACCGCTGTGACTGTGTCCCAGGATATATCCGTGTGGATGATTTCTCTTGCACAGGTGAGCTTTCAACATTCAACATTTCTCTGCACAATATCCGTGTTGTTACATTTAGCTTCAAGTGTCTTAATACTGTTTTACCTACCAAATATTTCTCTTGCATTATTTTACCCCAAACTCGTGAGAAAAAAGTAATCATAAAAACATATCTGCGTATTTTATTTTCATTCCCAGTATCTCTGTGTTTTTGTGTCTGCATCCATGGGCTTATGATTTAAAACTGAAGCTCCAGTTGCCTATAGTAACACCAAGGTACTTAGAGACATCAGTTCCAAAAATAGAAAAATTTTACACTATTTTCCTCCCATCATGAGGACATGCTTTTGTATGTAAGAAAATGTACAGATGGTCCCTGACTTACAGTATCTTGAATTATGAAATTTATAATGGTGTGAAAACCATATTCATTCAGTAGAAACTATACTTTGAATTTTGATCTATTTCAAGGCTAGAGATGTGTGGTCTGATAACTCTCATGACTGGGGTAGCAGTAGTGAGCTGACACCACATGATCATGAGGGAAAACAACAGAGAGTCTACAGAAAACTTTTCACTTTCAGCATAGTATTCAATAAGCTGCAAGAGGTAGTCAATGCTTCGTTATAAAATAGACTTCTTGTTAGTTGAGTTTGCCCAGCATAGACTATTGAACATGTTCTGAGTTTTTCAAGTCACTTAGGCTAAGCTAGGATGTTTGGTAGGTTACATTAAACATTCTTCTTGTGATACTTTTGACTCCTGGTGGATTTATTCCTCAGCTCTGTTGTAGGTTGAGGAAGATCTATATTTCATTCCCATTAGGGAAGATGTGGATTTAATTTAAAGGGGGAAGCTGAAGTACCTGGTTGCCAGGGAGTGGGACTATAGGAGACTTTGGATTGATGTTTATTGTCACATCCCCTCCTCTTCTCCCTGTTTCACTGGGATCTCAGAACTAAACTGGAACCCCAGGGGCCATGGTTAGTACCCCTGTGTGAATAGTGCTGCTTTGTGGACATTTGGTTTGGGGTTCCATTTTATCTGCAGTTATGTAAGTGGAAACATGAGCAGCAATTGTTTAAAGGTTGTAGAAGATTCTGAGTCAGTCTTCTTTTGGATCAGATGTCTTCAAATGATCGATCTGGAACCTATGGAAAAGGAGCAGCTTGAACAAAACAATTCAGTTGTGTTTTACCTTTCCCCCTGACTCCATCTTTCTCTTTGTCCTAGTGATATTGGCATTTTCAAACGGAATTCTTTACTCAGATGGATTGCCACTCTTCATGTGTTTTATTCTGAATGACCTTTTCAGAAGTGCAGAAAGTGACAAAATTTAAGAAACATTTTGCATGTCCAAATGCCTTTGCCACTGATTGCTCATATGTTACTGTTCTTCAGCTAAGAGGCTGGTCATACCAGGTTGATGCAGGTTTCTGATTTTCACACAAGACCAAATCTAATCTCTATCTTATATATATTTTAACTAAAATTCCTAGAGAAAAAAAATGAAGTTGCTACAGGCACAGCATGCTGAGATTTAATTATTTTAAGAGTATAAAACTTTTGGGCCTGTAACCAAACACAGTCTAAAAATCAGTGATGTTGTAGATGACTATTGCTCTGTTCTTGCAGTAAATCCAGATCTGGACTTATTGTAACCCTAAGATTAGGAGGAGCTTGGTTCCTTTTAACCTGTTTAGCTATATATTATTTCTAGATCCCTTCTCTGAATCTTATGACTTAATATCTTCTCTAGGTCAGTAGTCTCTAAATTTTATCCAGTTTCATCTTTCTCCTGAGTTTCTGAATCATACAGTCAACTTGATATCTTTACATAGTAGATAGATAACAGACCTTTCATATTAACATTACAAGACAAAACTCATGCTTTCCTTCTCTTCTGCAAACTGCCACCTCTTTCATCTTTCCCCATCTTATTAAAGGAAAGCATCATCTACCCAGTTTTTTAAGTTAAAACAAAGTACTATAGGTTATAGTTGATTTCTTTTCTTCCCTGGCTCTTTCTTTTCATCTATATACCAGTCATGTGGACTCCATACTCTGTCCTAAATCTGCCTACTTTTGTCCATATTCTTTGCTTTCATTCCTCTGGATTTCTGTGATGATCACCATGCTGGACGTTCTCATCTAGTTAAGTGCCATCTTAATTCATTCCAGAGCAAATTTTACAAAACACAATCTTACAAACCTGCTTAAAACTCTCATGTAGTATCCCACCATATATCAAATCTGTATTCATTTTCATATTAACCCTATATGGATTTTTTCCATTTTGCCTCCCTGACTTTATTTTGTAGCATTTCCATTCTTGTTCATTAGGAGGTAGCCACTCTGACTCTTGACCTTTATTCTTTTCAACAAGTTTTTTATATTATAGGACTTTGTGTGACCTGCTGTTCCTTCTTAGAAGTATTTTCTTCTTGCTGTTTACATCACTGACCCTTTCCATTTGTATCTCATAATCAGAGAAAGCTCAGAGAGTTTGTGATATTAATAGTCACCTATTTTTCTTATGTCCTGTCACCTAATTTTTCCTCTTTTTTTGCTTTATTATAATGTTTGTTTTTTTTTTTTTGCTTTTTATATTTTACGTCATTCTTCATTTTTGTACAATCTGTGCTTTCTCCTCTCAGGTGTAGAACCCGTGATATTCCCACCACCAATTCACCCACGCACCATCACATGCTCCCTTCCCTCTTCTGTCTTTATCCTTTCCCCTCCTCTTCCCCTGCAGAATGTCTCTGATTTATAGTTGCCTGCTGATTTTGATTTTTAATTTGTTATAATTGCTTTTTTTTTTCCCTGATCCCTGATTTGGTTCCTCCATATTCCTCCTATAAGTGAAGCCATCCAATATTCTTTTTCCTTCTGGCTTATTTCACTGAGCATAATGCCTTCCAGTCCATCCATGTTGCTATGCATGGCCTGAATTTATCTTTTTTTTTAATATTTATTTATTTATACAAGCACTGGGTACAGTCAGAAGCATAGGAGGGTGAGAGAAATCACCAGAGCCAGAGCGGGGAACAGAACAGACAGACTGATGAAACACACTGCTAAGGGAGCAGCGGGCGTGGCGGGAGAGGTCTGCACGCCATGTGGGACCCTCATCGGCGGCCGGGGATCAAACCAGCACTGCAGAGGCTGTGGGCAGCTTCACAGACCAGCGCTTAACCGCTGTGCCACCAGGGGAGGCCCTGAATTTATCTTTTTTGATTGCTGAGTAATATTCCATTTTGTATTTATACCACATCTTGATCCAATCACTTATTTTTGGGCATTTGGGTTGTTTCCATAGCTTACTTATTGTTAAAAGTGCTGCAATAAACATAGAAGTGCAGGTGTCCTTTTGAATTAATGTTTTTTGTGCTCTTTGGGTAGATTCCCAGGAGTGGAATTGCTGGATCATATGGAAGCTCTATTTTTAGTAGTTTGAGGAACCTTCAAATAGTGGTTGGACCAGTTTGCATTCCCACCAGCAATGTAGTAGAGTTCCTTTACCTCCACATCCTCACCAACATTTGATGTTGATTTTTTTTTTTTTTTAAATATGTGCCATTCTCACTGGTGTAAGATGGTATCTCATTGTGGTTTTGATTTGCATTTCCCTGATTACACGTGAGGTTGAACATTTCCACCTAATTTTAATCCACTGAATATCACTATCTGGAATTTTATTATTTATAAGTGATTTTGGAAATACTGTCTTTCTATTAGAATGCAAGCACTGAGAGAAAGGATCTTTTGTTCACTGTTCTATCTTGGTTACTTAGAACACAGCCTAGCACAGAATAGTACTATTTATTAAATGAAGGAGTAGATAAAACTACTTAACTTTGGGGTAATTGTTTATTGTTCTTACTCATTTATAAAATACTGCTTTTGTCTGAAATACTTAAATACTTGGGCACTTATATCAGTCAGAATAGGATGTTCTGTGGTGACAAATAACCCCAAATATAAACAGCTTGAAATTACAAGATTCCATTTTTTGCTCATGGAATATATCTGTCAATACTGAACAGGAGGGGGGTACAATATCATAATGACTTTGTGTACAAGCTGATGTGAACATTACTAGTCACCAGTATGGGGAATAGAGAGTCTGGTGGGTCTTTCATCAACCATTGGTTGTTCTAACTAGGGAATGGTACCTCATACTCCCTTCCACGACTCACTGAATAGAACTAGGCAATAGTGACTATAAGGTTGAGAAAATGTGACCCTACCATGTGTGGTGAGAAATCTGGAGGACCAGAAATATTTAGTGAATGCTGCTGATGAATATCAGAGTGACAGCCACTTAATAGTATCAAATTGACACTTACTGAATTTCACAAAAAAATTAGTTTCCTTTGACATAAGGAGCTTTTATTTAAAATAATATATTTTTCCAACAGTAGTTCATGCTGTGATGGGGAAAGTAGTCTCAAAAAATAATCACAATATAAATCATGTTGTGCTTAGTCCTATTGTGGAAATATACACACAATGCAATGAGAAGCTCCTAATTGCCAGGATGAAGTGTTTGAAATGATTCTTGCCAGCCAAGAGGAACTTTTTAGATTATATTGAGGCATGTTAGCCTGTAGTGAGGAGATTGCATTAGGATTCTGCAGTGGGCAATATGGATAGGAATGAAGAGAGCTAAGAGATAAGCATTTCCCTGGCAGTCAGTTCTCTTTTAGACCAGATTCAAGGACCTCCATTAGATACTTCCATAAGTAGGTCAGATCTCTGATGTCTACCGTGGTCTCCTGGAAATAAACCTGTTACCTCAATGTGTTCTTTACTCACCATGAGAGAGGATGTCTCTACCTCTAATTGGTCATTTCTCTATCATCAAAGAAAGCTTCTTTCTTCAAGTGGTTATTTGCCTTTGTAACAAATGAGGGGTATAATTGATGTCTGCCCTGTAGGGTAACTTTTCAGATGTTTTATTTTCAGTAGACATTTTGTTGGCAGAAATAGATAAGCCTGAAGGCATCATTTGTTTTCCC